ATGATCAGTGTTTGTCTTGAGGATTTGGCCATAGGTGGCATACACTGTAGTGCACTAAAACACCCTGTGAGTTGATGACGCACTAAAACACCCTGTGAGTTGATGACGCACTAAAACACCCTGTGAGTTGATGGCGCACTAAAACACCATGTGAGTTGATGACGCACTAAAACACCCTGTGAGTTGATGACGCACTAAAACACCATGTGAGTTGATGACGCACTAAAACACCCTGTGAGTTGATGACGCACTAAAACACCCTGTGAGTTGATGACGCACTAAAACACCCTGTGAGTTGATGGCGCACTAAAACACCCTGTGAGTTGATAGCGCACTAAAACACCCTGTGAGTTGATGGCGCACTGAAACACCCTGTGAGTTAATGGCGCACTTAAACACCCTGTGAGTTGATAGCGCACTAAAACACCATGTGAGTTAATGGCGCACTAAAACACCCTGTGAGTTGCACTAAAACAACCCGTGAGTTGGGGAAAAACATGATTTGGGCGAGATGAATGAATGAAATAAGGATGACGCTTTATTCATTGAGGGATGACGGACTAAAACACCCCGCGTGAGTGATCTTGGGAGTTTGAAGATGGATAAAACACACTGGAATGACGACTGGAAAGATGGATGATTGTAGCATGAATGGATGGAAAGATGGATGGATAGATGAATGGATGGACAGATGATGGATACATGAATGGATGGAAAGATGGATGGGAAGATAAATGAATGGAAAGATGGATGGGTAGATGAATGGATGGAAAGATGGATGTGTAGATGAATGGATGGACAGATGGATGGGTAGATGAATGGATGGACAGATGGATGGGTAGATGAATGGATGGACAGATGGATGGGTAGATGAATGGAGGGACAGATAGATGGGTAGATGAATGGATTGACAGATAGATGGGTAGATGAATGGATGGACAGATAGAAAGGTAGATGAATGGATGGAAAGATGGATGGGTAGATGAATGGGTGGACAGATGGATAGGTAGATGAATGGATGAAAAGATGGATGGGTAGATGAATGGATGGAAAGATGGATGGGTAGATGAATGGATGGAAAGATGGATGGGAAGATGAATAGATGGAAAGATGGATGGGAAGATGAATGGATGGAAAGATGGATGGGTAGATGAATAGATGGACAGATGGAAGGGTAGATGAATAGATGGAAAGATGGATGGGTAGATGAATGGGTGAACAGATGGATGGATAGATGAATGGATGGACAGATGGATGGGTAGATGAATGGATGGAAAGATGGATGGGTAGATGAGTGGATGGAAAGATGGATGGGTAGATGAATGGATGAAAAGATGGATGGGTAGATGAATGGATGAACAGATGGATGGGTAGATGAATGGATGGACAGATGGATGGGTAGATGAATGGATTGAAAGATGGATGGGTAAATGAATGGATAGACAGATGGATATGTAGATGAATGGATGGACAGATGGATGGGTAGATGAATGGATGGACAGATGGATGGGTAGATAAATCGATAGAAAGATGGATGGGTAGATGAATGGATGGAAAGATGGATGGGTAGATGAATGGATGGACAGATGGATGGGTAGATGAATGGATGGACAGATTGATGGGTAGATGAATGGATGGACAGATGGATGGGTAGATGAATGGATGGACAAATGGATGGGTAGATGAATGGATTGAAAGATGGATATGTAGATGAATGAATGGAAAGATGGATGAGTAGATGAATGGATGGAAAGATGGATGGATAGTTAAATGGATGGACTGATGGATGGGTAGATGAATGGATGGACAGATGGATGGGTAGATGAATGGATGGACTGATGGATGGATCGATAAATGGATAGACTGATCGATGGGTAGATGAATGGATTGACTGATCGATGTGTAGATGAATGGATGGACAGATGGATGGGTAGATGAATAGATGGAAAGATGGATGGGTAGATGAATGGATGGGTAGATGGATGGGTAGATGAATTGATGGAAAGATGGATGGGTAGATGAATGGATGGGTAGATGAATGGATGGAAACATGGATTGGTAGATGAATGGATGGAAAGATGGATGGGTAGATGAATGGATGGACAGATGGATGGGTAGATAAATAGATAGAAAGATGGATGGGTAGATGAATACATGGATGGGTAGATGAATGGATGGACAGATGGATGGGTAGATAAATGGATGGACAGATGGATGGGTAGATGAATGGATGGAAAGAGGGATGGGTAGATGAATGGATGGACAGATGGATGGGTAGATGAATAGATGGAAAGATGGATGGATAGATGAATGCATGGATGAGTAGATGAATGGATGGACAGAACGAACGAACGAACGAACGAACGAACGAACTTTATTTTCAAAGGGTCACAAATTGGGCACGCAGGCCCGTCTTACATTCGGCCCTTCCAGTCAACCATCTTTCGCACAGCAGTTGTATTTTACTAATAAAGCATGTTATGATCATATGATGTTATGCATATTATGAATATTATAAAAGAACACAAAAGCATAAGTTGTAAAGTGCATGCAAAACCCCGCGCGTGCATACATACACCCGCATACACAGGCTCACCCACTCACTTACACACACAAACATGCATGCATACATTCCATACATACATACACAGATACATATAAACAAACATGCATACACACATACACACAGGCATACGTACACACAAACATACATACATACATAGATACAAACATACAGGCATACATTAATACATACATACGTAGTACAGGCATACACACATACAGTCATAAATCCAGTCATGCATGGAGACACACACATGCACACACGGACACTCCCACAGAGACACAAACACTCAGACAAAAATACAGACACACACACAGACACTTACATATAAACATACACAGGGAAACACACAGCACACATATTTACATTCGTGCTCACACACTGACACACACACCACACATACGCAGACAAACATGCAGACACATACATACAGCCACATAGACACACACGCAGTCAAACACACACACACACACACACACACACACACACACAAATACAGACAAACAGGCAGAAAAACACATACTGACACCCACAGAGACAAACACGCAGAAATGCATATACATACAAACACATAGAAATACACACGCAGACACATATATTCAGCACGCACAGACATATACTCTGACATGCAGACACATACAGATGGATGGGTAGATGAATGGATGGAAAGATGGATGGGTAGATGAATGGGTGGACAGATGGATATGTAGATGAATGGATAAACAGATGGATGGGTAGATGAATGGATGGAAAGAAGGATGGTTAGATGAATGGATGGACATATGGATATGTAGATGAATAGATGGAAAGATGGATGGGTAGATGAATGGATGGATGGGTAGATGAATAGATGGACAGATGAATGGTAGATGAATGGATGGAAAGATGGATGGGTAGATGAATGGATGGACAGATTGATATGTAGATGAATGGATGGACAGATGGATGGGTAGATGAATGGATGGAAAGAGGGATGGGTAGATGAATGGATGGACAGATGGATATGTAGATGAATGGATGGAAAGATGGATGGGTAGATGAATGGATGGATGGGTAGATGAATAGATGGACAGATGGATGGTAGATGAATGGATGGACAGATGGATGGGTAGATGAATGGATGGACAGATGGATATGTAGATGAATGGATGGACAGATGGATGGGTAGATGAATGGATGGAAAGAGGGATGGGTAGATGAATGGATGGACAGATTGATATGTAGATGAATGGATGGACAGATGAATGGGTAGATGAATGGATGGAAAGAGGGATGGGTAGATGAATGGATGGACAGATGGATATGTAGATGAATTGATGGAAAGATGGACAGATGGATGGGTAGATGAATGGATGGAAAGATGGACATTTGGATGGGTAGATGAATGGATGGAAAGATGGATGGGTAGATGAATGGATGTACAGATGATGGGTAGATGAATGGATGGACTGATGGATGGGTAGATGAATGGATGGACAGATGGATGGGTAGATGAATGGATGGACTGATGGATATGTAGATGAATGGATGGAAAGATGGACATTTGGATGGGTAGATGAATGGATGGAAAGATGGATGGGTAGATGAATGGATGGACAGATGGATGGGTAGATGAATGGATGGACTGATGGATGGGTAGATGAATGGATGGACAGATGGATGGGTAGATGAATGGATGGACTGATGGATATGTAGATGAATGGATGGAAAGATGGACAGATGGATGGGTAGATGAATGGATGAAAAGATGGACAGTTGGATGGGTAGATGAATGGATGGAAAGATGGATGGGTAGATGAATGGATGGACAGATGGATGGGTAGATGAATGGATGGACTGATGGATGGGTAGATGAATGGATGGAGTTTTGTGACGCGGACTGCACTACTGCCCAGTTGGTGATGACCCCTCTGCTGCGACATACAGGGCTGCCCAAGATGGTTTTCGTGCCACACACATTTCCTTTGCCGAGCAAAATGATTTTTGAGTTTAGTGGTTAAGCTGGTAAAAGGAGATCCAGATTTGGGGCATTTCCCCCGATGATCCGTCCTATCTTTAAGCCCGTGCAAAGGTTCAAAAAACGATAGTACCCGGGCACAAATTTGGTTATATGTCCCCTCTCGCCCTTCCCCCTTTAGGAGTGAGCCCAAACCCGAACCTCGGTTTCCCCAGGTGTATTTTCTCTAGGCCATAAAATTTTTTTTCAAAAAATTCCCGTTTCTTTTCCAAAAGGGCCCGACAACATCCCCCTTGTTTAGATCAGTTTACCCCCAGTGGGCAGTTTTCGGTTTTGTCTGCCTGTTATTTCCACAAACGGGCCCCNACGTTGCAGTAGTGGAACCTTGCATTCCACTATATTTTCAGGGCTTGTTGTATAAATGTGATCTATAAGTGTTGAAGATGATTTAGTTACTCTAGTAGGTTGTTTAACTAGTTGTTGGAGATTGTATGAAGTAACTATATTCTCCC